TGCTGGTTCCTGGCTCCTCCTCTCCTCCTGCTCCTCCTTCTCCTCCTGCTCCTGTTCTCCTGTTGCTCCTCCTACTGACGGGGGCCTGGGGCACGTGCGATCGTGCGATAGCAAATCTGATAATCTACCAACCACCGTACATCGTAGTTGCGAGGCAACTATGGCCACGCACAACGCACAACAGCACCACGGTAGGATGCCCGGCTGCTGCTTGTTGGTTGCCCAACTCATATGGGAAAATATCATGGCTCAACGCTTCCCTTCAACCTCAGATGCGTGATACAATAAGTGATCCAAAGGCCCATTGCTACGGTATGAAACGAATTACCGATCATGGAACAAAGGGCCGTCGTAGGAATGCTGCCGTCCTCCAACAAGTGCTGCCAGTAGCACGGGTAATTGTCTGGAATGGTGCCCACCATGCAAGGCTCCCCCTGCGCCATCAACAACTCAAATGGGTGGATCATGCTGTGCTTGCCGTCTTTATTCAAACTTGCGATGAGCTTGCAGTTGGTGGTGATGCACGGCATGTACTGGTCTCCAGTAGTAAAAGATGGTTGCTGGTTCAGGTCTGTCAGGTACGCGTCCCAGCAGTAGTTCTCAGAGTAGAACTCCTTCTCATGATGCTCCAATCGTTTGGCCTGAGGAATAGTAAGAAAATCTTTCATCTGAAGGTCAACGCTGCTGCTGAAATGGATCCTCTTGTTGGCGGCCATCTCGCGCATGTACTTCTGGCGATCCGCGGCATTCATCTGGACGTAGGCTTTCCCAGTAAGCACTGGGGCACGCGCGAGGACCTGGTCGTATTCTGAATAGCTTCCAGTGAAATCGAACGTCTTCGTGTTGTAGATGAAGGTGTGCCGTCGCTGCCTCCTCACGGGTATGCCTCGGGACTTCGGGTTGTCGATCCCTGTCACCATCTTGTAGGTGCCGATCCCTCCCAACGAATGCTCGCCAAGACTGTCAGCAAGTTGTTGATGGAGATCTGGCGGGCATGAAGAGGTGATCTCTAGCCACACGACGTCCGGCTTGAGGATCTTCATCTCCTCGACGAACAGAAGCCACTCCTCCATGTTGTCGCCGATGAAACACCACCGGAGACCATGCATAGCGAAGTCCTGGCACGAAGATCCAGCACAAACTGCTTTGATATTTTGGAGTGGCCTCCGCTGCATCGGCATCTCATCTTCATGCTGCTGGGTGCACTGTTCCTCGTCGACACAGACAGGAAAGGGGTACAACGGGCGGTAGGCTTTGCACTGGTAGCACCAGCTGGTATGATGATCATTCAAGAGCATCCCTGCTGCGGCCTTGCTCTTCACGAAGGTCGTCATCTCCTCGAAGACCTTCACCCTGCTCGCCTTGGTGAAATCAATCCCACTCCTTATCCTCTCGAGCTCCTTCTGCGTCTCAGGGCGAAGGCGAGATTGGAACGAACCGAAGACGTGATCGTACAAGATCTTCGGACCATCTCTCATACCACAAAGAACTGAAATACAATGCTTATCTTCCTCAGTGGCGTGCACGCTGCTGAAGACGTCGTGATCAACGAGATTCCGAGCTTTGATGGCCTTGTTCAAATGCTGGAAGATCGTAGCGTCGGTGCCCTTGCCCGCGTAGTAGCTGTAGCACTGCCAGGAACACTGTAAAACATCAATGAGATGGCCTGGCAAGCACTCCGAACCCTCCAAGGATTTAAGGCAAGCATCCAGACCCCAATCTGGCCACCCGAATACATCAAGCAGCGTGCGAGGGCCATCGAGCTTCTCAGCGTCCAGAAGGGCGTCATCGAACCCTCCGAGTTTTATCCTCTTGGACGTGCTGCTGCAAGGGCCGCCTTCCATTGCTGATGAAGGACGCCCAGACGTCAAAACTCGCTTCGATACGCAGGAAAGACACTGCCAGGCGCCAACGGGCTGGCGGGCGGTGGGCTTCCTTAGAAGCCGGTAGATCAATTGAGTCAAAACGGCAATGCAAGCAAACGACGATGCAAGCTGCAAGCTCCCTAGCTCCCTCCTCCCTCCCACAAGAAGGAGGGCGAGAAGGAGCGGGAGAACGAAAGGGAGAGGAGGAGCAAGGAGCAAGGAAGGAGGGCGAGAAGGAGCGGGAGATGGGGAAGGGGGGTGGGTGGAGGGGGGAGGGCCAGGGCCATCAGTCTTCCAATTATCTCAATCCTCAATTATCCTCCTCCCTGCTCGTTGCTCCTCCCACCGCCTCCTCTAATCCTTATGCCCCGCTCCCCATCCACTGCCCACTCTCCACCATCTGCTATCTCCTCCTTCCTCCTCCATCCTCCAAAACAGTGGTATCCTTCCGAGGCTTCTTGATGCAGGGCTCGCAACCGCCAGAAGACGCTGTAGTCACTTCTGTCGCAGCCACAGAGGAGGTGTCGTCGAGCCCGACCGGGTCGAATAGGTCGCCGCCGTCCATGACGAGGGACACTCTCCAGGGCTCACAGATCTCTGAAGTCTGGAGTCTGGGGAACAAGCCTCAACAGCTCGATCCATGAGACAGCCACAACAGCAGGGGACCGGGAGCACGCCAGGACCCCTTTGAGGGTTTGGGCAGACAGGAAGGCCTTGGGAACTCCTGAAGCATCTCCTGGCGAGGGGGCCACACGATGAGAAGGCCTTGGGAACTCTGGAAGCATCTCCCTGACGGGGGGGGGGCGGCTTGTGAACTCTGGAAGCATCTCTGGGACGATGGGACGATGTGCTGTGCCTTACTGCAGCATTCGCACAACTTCCAACACTTTCTGTTGATGTTTGTGCGTTATTGATGTTTGTTATGCTTTTTGTTTCAACCCTAACGTTTTGTTTGCATTTTCTTGTTTTGTAGCGCTTCTTGTAGCTGTTTTGTGTTTTTTTGTGGTTTCGTGTTTTTTTTTTTGCATTTCTTGATTTTTTGTGATTTTTGCGTTTTTGTGTGTTTTTTGCGTTTTTTTTTTTTTTTTTTTTTTTTTTTTTTTTTTTTTTTTTTTTTTTTTTTTTTTTTTGTTTTTTTTGCCTTTTTGCTGATTTTGGCCAACTTTCGCAAAAAAACACCAAAATCACCAAAATCCACAACAAGCTGCAAAAACACGAAAATCACAAAAAAAAAAAACCTAAAAAAAGTTCCGTGGAGTTCCGTGGAGTTCCGTGGAGTTCCGTGGAGTTCCGTGGAGGGGGCTCTGGGGGGGCAAAAATGCTAAAAATACGTTTTTGGCGGCGTTTCTGGAATTTTGGTGTTTTGGTCGATTTTGGGCATTTTTGCGCATTTTGGCAAAACAAAAAAAAAACACCAAAAACACAAAAAAACACAAAAAAAACAAAAAAACACACAAAAATGCATAAAAAACTATTTAAAAAAAAAAAAAAAAAAAAAAAAAAAAAAAAAAAAAAAAAAAAAAAAAAAAAAAAAAAAAAAAAAAAAAAAAAAAAAAAAAAAAAAAAAAAAAAAAAAAAAAAAAAAAAAAAAAAAAAAAATCAAACATAACATATAAACGCAAAACAAGCACTAAACGACTTACAAGTAACATGAACAACACTACAGACGCATAAAACACAAAAACGCATTCAAATAATCAAACAAACAATGATAATCACGCACATCAACTACACAGACCACGTTGGAAACGCCAGCGAACAGACGTGCATCTCTGATGCCGAACTTTGGTGTCCAGGCCATTCGGGGTGGAGCTAAGCGAGGACGATCACCCTCTACCTTCTTCCTCCCTCCTCCCTCCTCCCTCCCTTCCCCCTTCAGGCTTCTATCTCACCCTTTTCTCAACAACAAGAAAAAGCGGGCAGCGAGTTAGTCGGAGCTCGAACTCGTCGAGCTCGTTGAAGACGAGCTCGAGCTCGAGCTCGAGGACACGCTCGAAGATGAGCTGTCCTCGCCGGCGCGCCGGCGCGTCGTCCGCCGTCGCGGCTTCGTCGATGCATCGTCGCGTCGTCATTGTCGTCCATCCTTTGCGTCGTCGATCGTCGCCTTCTCCATCTACTCTTAATACGTCGTTGCGTCATTGCGTCGTCATCGCTGTCGTTATCGGTTATCGAGTCGTCGTGCTAATGCATACTGTTATCGGCTATCGTTATCGGTTATCGATTATCGGTTATCGGTTGTCGTCGAGTCGTCGGTTATTGTTTTCGGTTATCGGTTATCGCTGTCGTTATCGGTTGTGTCGTTGCTAGCGCATACTCTATCATCTGTATCCTACTCCTCCCTCCTCCTCCCTCCTCCCTCCTCCCTCTCCTCCTCCTCTCCTCTCTCCTCTCCTCCCCCCTCTTCTTCCTACTCCTCCCTCCTCCTCCCCCTCTCCTCTCCTCTCCTCTCCTCTCCTCTCTCCTCCCTCCTCCTTCCTCCCTCTCCTCCCTCCTCCTCCCTCCTCCCTCCTCCCTCCTCCTCCCTCCTCCTCCCTCCTCCCTCTCCCCTCTCCCCCCTGAGTCCTGGTACACATACGTGCGCTTGGCGCGCACCTTCGTCTTGATCATCTCGGCCGTCTCGGCCTCGGCGCCGTCGTCCTCGCACTCGCTGCCAGATAACCACGGATAAACTGGCTTCTGATGCTCAATCATCTCGGGCGACGGCGTGTTCTTATCGTTGGGTTTGAACGCCTGATGTTTTTTTCTAGAGCCATACTTCCAACTAGAATTCATCCAATGTCTCAACCATAGCTCCACTGAGCGCTCCTGTTCAGGTGTTTTGAACTGGCGTGTTTGTCGGCATCGAGTCGATGGCTGTGCGTAGTTGTAGTGGCCGCTGTCGCACCTTGGGCATGTGGCCTGCCAGCTGTTGGGAGGCTTGAATGTCATGAAACCGCTTCCCCACCAATAACTTTTCGGATGTTGCTTCTTACCCGTTTTATTGCCCTGCTGCACAGGACCATCATTCTTCTTCAATTGCTTGCTAGACTGACCAGTAGTGTCACCATCTTTTTTGCGGTTGCGCTGTCTCTTTTTTTGTGCCATCACTTCTAAGTCAATGCCGATTTCGTCAGATCTGAATGACAGCTTCGATACCTTGAACAGCCCATTGTAGTATTTATCTTGCCTGAAATGCTCGATGGTCTCAACCTTCGCTTCATCCATGCGGGCCATCGCTAGAAGGTACGCCTTGCTGATGCAGACGCTTGCTTTCTTGACGTACCAAATTTTGGGCCCCCCATTTTCAACCATGACAGGGGGAGGCCGGGAATCACTTGCAGTGGTGTGCCACACGCTACCAATCCAACCAATATTTCTCAAGTAATGAATCAATTCGAACTGCGTCATGGACTTGATGTCGATGTCCTCCCTGGGAACCGCAATCTTCTCGAAGTCGTCGGGATGAAGTCTGGTGCATGCCTCCACCATGTCCTCGCCAACTAGTGTGATGCGCCACGATGATGAAGTCGGCGTGTCGACAAGCCGCTCCACGATGCCGTGCGCAAGCATGAACTTCAACGTGTCCTCCACATCGCCGTCGTCGCTGGATATTGTAAGTGACGCATCCGTCATGGCTGACTCCAGCGCCTGACTTTCTAGCAAGAGGGCCAGCGCGTCGGATACTCTGACCTCGTCGTGTCCACTGATGCCGCGAAGCGTGTAGAATAGGAGCCCAGATGGAGGACACCTGCAAATTTCATCCATGCACTCCATCAGAGACCGCCACGTGAGGATCCTCCCCCTGTCCGTATCCTTCCCATCACCAACTAGATAGTATTCCAGCTCGGTCACAGTAGACTTCATCTTCAGAGCACTAACCACAATGTCGCCTGTATTGAATAATCCTTCGGCCGAGTCTGCAGCGATCTTCTTGGGGTACTTGCACGTGATTTGGAAAAACATGATGTCGGGATGCGATGCTGTTGGTATGTATTCTACTGGAAGTGGTGCTGCTTCTTCCGCGCATCCATCGCCGTCCAACGACATAGCAGTGAGATCGTCAACAATAGAACCTTCCAGCATTTCCATTGATTTTGCCAACATCTCAAAGTCCACGCTCTCATAAGACAACATGGTAGCCTCGAATCCAGATGGCCATGCCAAGGGCTGGTTCAAGACATCCGGGAGAGACGGCATCGACAACTTGCTCGATCGGACAGTAAAAATATCACAGGGGTCGGAGGTGAAGAGTAGGTGCCGTGCCGATGCGTCCCTCTCCAACCTGGCCAAGACCTCTGCGTCGATACTCGTCTCAGTAGCATACTCGATCACCTGAACCTTGTCTGTAGCACCTGGCGAGACTCGTGACTCGTGCTTCCGCTCCGTCTACTTCCTACTTCCTCTCACCCCTCACCACTCCCCTCTCCCTCTCTCCCCTCCTCCTCACTCCTCACTCCTCACTTCTCCTCCTCCTCCTCCTCTGTCGTCGGCTTCCTCCCTCACTTCAGCCCTTCCCATTTCCTCTATCTCACTCTCTTAGCCCTCCTCTTTCCTGCCGCCCTCCTCCTTTCTCATCCCTCCTCCCTCCTCCCTCCGCCTCCTCAGTACCAACTCAAATGAATGCATTAGGGGGCAACAAGAGTCACATTATGAACGCATGAGGGGCCAGGAGAGTCACACTATGAATGCATGAATCACATTATGAATGCAATTTAATGCATCACACAGGGGGGCAGGGGGCAACGAACGAGAACCAGGAGAGCAAAGCAGAAGAAATCGAGGGCACCGTGGGGACGTGGGGAACCAGGGGCACCGCGAAGACCGCCGTCATTGTCCAGGCCCCGACCCATCTCCAAGCGCCCCCCTTGGGCCGCCATGTGGCCCAGGCGGTGGGGGATCATCTGCAGGATCGAACATATCAGGTAATTTGGCAAACTGAGTCTGCAAGTCCGATCTGTAGATCACCCGGCAAGCAATGTGATGGGGCACTAACATGTTCGGCAAGCCAGTGTTGGTGGACGAGGCTGTTATTACTGGATGTCCTGTCAATCCCAGACACGCTAAGCAATTAGCTGGCGTCCTTACTCGGGAAAGGGTCCCTGCGAACGTTCTGGCACGCTCTGCGTTGTCGTCAAAGCAATCTAAAATCTCACCTTTACGCATTGCCAAACTAGCGTACGATTCTGAATGGTTGCTGGCGAGTAATATATGTCGGTGCAATTGAGCGTGATCTCTCTCTATTCCTATCTCTATGTTGGAGGCGAACCTAGCTTTGGCCCTCAATTGAAGCAACTCTGGATACCGAGCGAAGGGGGCCCCAGCAACGACGTCACGCACAGCATCGCGAAGGGACGTGTGACCGTGCCCAAACAGCCTGTCCACAAATGGATGAGTACGAACGCCTCTCTGCCGATCACGATCGTACATCGCACACGAAATGAGGAGGCCCGCGCGGGCCTTCCTCTCATCATAATGGCCAATCGTTAGTGCTTTCAGAGGGAGGGTATTGAACCATGAGAGTCGCAGCTGCAACTCCGTCAACAAAAACCTTTTACACGATTCGAAATTTCGCGTGACTCCTTGCCGGGCGGCGGCATTGAAAGGATGGACTTCTGAGATCAATCGTGCCAAATCCAGCTCGCACAGCTCCTCAACATACCTCTCTAAATCACCAGCTGCGATCTCTGGCACACGCCTGCCTCTCATGGGACAAGAATGCTTGTCGCCCTGCAGGTCAAAATCTTTGCAAACCTGGGACCGGTGACAAACACAACCTTTGCAATAATTGTTCAAGCGGCCCAACAACTGGGAAAACACCTCGATGAGCAAAAGATACGCCCAAAACCTGTCGTCTGCAAAAGACTCGGTGCACCTCCGGGCGTGGTTGCCTGCATCAGCTAGCCCGCCAGCAGGCAGACCGCCGGGACCACCAACCGCCCACTGCCGTGCACCGTCAGCAGCGATGTCCTCACTGCCCAATTCCCGGCGAGCAATGCGAGGGGCGAGGGGGGATGGGGAGCGGGGAACACCCCATTTTGCAAACGGCCGCCCTCCATCCATGTAACTATTGCAAACTTGTTAGACGAATGCACGCGACGCCAAGGCCCAAGGCGAGAACCCCTTTTGAAAAAGAGCCGCCCTCCATTTTTGCAACTGCTCATCTGGACGTGCAGGGCCGAAGGCCTATTGATGGGCGCAACCCGCAACCCGCCAGCCCTATCCGATGCGCCGAAGGGAAGAGTGCTGAGTGCTACCTGCAGCCCGAGGTACATGCCGACATGCCGTGGATTGGGTCGTCCCGATGCGCCGATCGGTTTGCTGGCTGCCCGAGATACATGCCATGGATCGGCCAGGCTCGGGGAAGGGAACCGTCTTGGAGGCTATCTTGGCCGTCTTAGGCCTCTTGGGGCCCTCTTAGGGCCGTCTTGGGGGCCTTTTGGGCCGTCATGGGGCCATCTGTTTCTGCGTGTGCGTGCGTGCGTGCGTGCGTGCGTGCGTGCGTGCGCGCGTGCGTGTGCGTATGTGTGTGTGTGTGTTTCCCCCAGGACGCCCCCGAGCGGCAGCCTGGTTTCTTAGGGTCTGTATCAGCGTGGGCTATCTTGGAAGCCTCGTGGGCGGTGGGCGATCTTGGGGCGATCTACGGCGGAGGTGGAGGAGGAGGTGGAGGAGGAGCAGGAGGAGGAGCAGGAGGAGGAGGAGCAGGAGGCAGGAGGTAATCGCGGTTCGCTCTGCTTCTTTACCCTCCTCCTCCCCCTCCTCCGCCGCCTCCTCCTCCACCTCCTCCCTCCTCCCCCTCCTCCTGCTCCTCCTCCCTCCTCCTCCTCCTCCTGCTCGCCAGGATCGAAGGCTCGCTGCTCGCTCGAGGCCTTTACGGCCTCGACCTCCCCGCCCACGGCCGGCAGGAGCGGGCCTGGCAGGTGGCAGGAGGGCAGCCCCAGCCCTCCCCACTCCCCATCCCCGACATCCTCGTTCCACGCCGGGATGATCAAGAGCCTCCGAGCGTTGAACCACTGGGAGATGTCAACAAGCACTCCCCATGTGCGGCCGCCTTCATACAGAGGAGGTCCTGACTTGAACCTCGCTTGCCAAGGTAAGCGGTCCCCTGTCAGAGTGGACTTGAATGCTTCTCGTGTGATGCGATGATGGAATATCCAAGCCGCTGATTCTATCATCGTTTTGAACTCGTCAAACCCATCGAGGTTGTCGATCAAACGGTGTTCTAGAAGCTCTACCATGTGGTACGTTCCGGGGATTAGAAGAACATGCTTCAAAGATAAACGAACTGCCTCTGGTGGGGGTGTATCATTAAACTCCAGATTATCAGCGTCACCAAGGATGCCCATTTCAACCCAATGGGGAAAAAATCTCAGCAGGCGTTGAATTTAATGACATCAGTTTGCTTTCGGCTCCTGCATCTACTGCCATACTAAAATACATGTTCATGAACTTCTGTGTGTCTGTCCAGCATGAGGTCTCCAGACGATGTGAATGCAACCATGCGTGTGCCTTGTGCGCTGCGTCGCCGTGCCGGGAACCCAAACCACCTGGTGGGAGGACATGCCTTTCAAAAGCGAGCGAGACGAATTTATGGTGCTGCCTCATCTGAAACACAAAATCATTTGGCTTCACGGGGACACCGCACATTTCCGCCATTTGTACAACACTCTCAAGAGCTGCAAGATACACATCCCCCTTGACATACATGTATTCTATCATGAGCCAGTTTCTGCCACCCTGTGGGGATGAATCAAGCATGCCAAAAAGAGCGCCCCCATTCTCGATCATCTCAGAATGCCTCTCCCTCATCCGGAGCATCCAAGCTACGTCCAGGAACAAACGACTCCGACTGATGATTGTTGGCGATGGCCACTGCATCCCCTCGATAACTGTTTCAGCCACTTCCAAAAAATCAGGTGGGAAACAACGCAGAGCTCGTTTCATAATCAATTTCAAGGTGAACCTACCCCCTGTCTGACTGGCACCGCGGAGCGCAAAAGAAAATAACATACAATGTAACAGAAATAACGGAGCGTATCCCCCACGAAAGTCTATTCCTTGAATCTGCGCTCCGCCTCTGGCCCCAGTTCTTTGCCACGAATGCAACGTGAACGAATCGATCGAAAACGATTTCTCACAAGATTCTAGCCAAGTGATGTACGTGGTTAGGAGGCTCTCGGACCCGGGGACATTCGTCGTGACAGTTGGAGCCCACTGTCTCAAACTCCTTGCAAGTTGAACGTACATGGAACGCTGGAAGAGATCATGGTTGCCTTCATCCATCGGATCCTTTGCCTGTGGCAAATCGGTCGGCTGAACGCTCCGAATGGCAACCCAAAGAGGGTGGATCGAACACGGAGTTGCGCACTTGCTCCGACAATCAAAAGCTACATCGTGCCAAGAGCCTGCAGCAATGAGCACAGCAAAATCATGATGCATCTGCACACACGTATTGGCAAGGGCTGTATTACAGAGCGGCGAAAGGATACTGAACACCGAACCCCGCCCATCTCTGCTTTGGGTCTGCAGCAACTGATCCCGGACGTTCGAAGACACATCGAATACCATATGGGAAGGGCTCTGGAATCCGAATTGCGCTGCCGAAACATCAACAGGTTGATCAATCAGACAAGCATCTAAAACCACAAAAAACCTCATATGTTCCATGCAACCCCCGTTTTGATTTACCATTGCCCGTTGCTGGGGTGAGAACAATGACAAACTCCCCTGATACGCACCATGGAACTGAATGACAGCAGCACCAATGACCTTATGATTCGAGTCCTCCTCGGATGGAAAAGATCGGTCCAAATCGATGTCCATCCAAGATATTTCTGAATCTACGAACGTGTCGAACAACAACTGCCTATCAAGATCATCCATGCACGGTGGGGGGATCTTATTTCTTGCCAGACGACGTTTATTGAAGCTTCGATTTCGGGAAACCAGCCACACAGGACATTTAATACTCAAGTCAACCATTGCAACGAGATAGCCTGATGTGTGCGTGTGTTACAGACTGCGGAACGGTGGGGAACAACACGTTCGAGTCACGTAGCTACTGACTGTGCGAACGTCACGTTAAGGGATGGGGGATAGGGGGGGAGGGGTAGGACGTCAGATATGCTGCACCTAGCTTTCCCCCTCCCTCTCCCCCTACCCCCTCTTCTTTACCCTTGCTGACGCTGCTCCTGGCTCCTCACAACGGGGGGGAAAAGAGAGGAACACGTGCCACGTGCCACATCCAGTATCCTACCCCTGACCCCTGACATCCGACATCCAGTACCGCCCCCTGCCCCTGAGAGCCTGCGGCGTGTGAGGTGTGAGAGTTCATGCCTTCGATCCTCCCTCCTCC